CCCCCCCCGGACGACCAGCCAAGATGGACACGGATAAAGAGACATAGTGGGGTCCCAGATAGCCAAACCATCAATTTTTTGTTTCGCCGAAATAGTTTTATGTCCAAAGAAATGTTATACATTGAAGCTAGACCAGCTTTTTATTGGTTAATCTGTACAAAACAATTTAGCACTTGGTTCCATTCATTTCTAACTTTATTAATGTCAAAGTTTGTGCTTTCCAACATTTATAAACTAGACTTTTTGATTTCAATTTCTCTGAAGACATGATTAATATTTCTAACACAATAGGAGTAATGTGACATAGTGGGGTCACCCAGTGGGTTTTATGGCCAAACTGGGAACTGAATTCTGGCCTCCAGAATCATAGTCCAGCACTCAAACCACTACACCATGATAGTCCAGCCAAAAAAGGCAGGCTCCAAGGTGGTTCTAAGATTACTCAATGAAGGATATCTGAACTGTCCCATAGTTTTCAGTTATCAGCTGACATTCGATTCCCAGCTTGACCATAAAACCCACTGGATGACATTGGCCAAATCACACTCTCCCAGCCTCAGAAGAAGACAACGACAAACCTCCTCTGAACAAATCTTGCCAAGAAAACCCTATGATAGGTTCTCCTTAGGGTCACCATAAGTTGGAAATGGCTTGAAGGCACACAACCAACCACAATAACAAGTAGCACAATGTATGCTCGCATATGTCATGAGCAGGATGCCAGCCCTTGAATATCTTATGGCACATATTCAGATCTTGAAAATAAATCCATCTTTGCAAAAATGGCAGTTGCATCCTTTCGAGGAAACAATGGCACAGTGAAGGTCCTCATATAAATTCTACCTTAGAATTCTAATCTCTCCCTAAACTGACAAAAAGATACACAAATCGATCTAAGAGCAACTCAAGCCTGAACTCTCCCTAGAAGAACAAGTGACTAAACTGCAGCTATTGTACAGACCATGGACAAGAAGACATGACTCACTAGAAAAAACAATCATGCTTGGTATGGTAGAAGGCAGTAGGAAAGGAGGAAGACTTTGACGACTGCCATCACACCGCAGAATTAATGCAGTTTGGCAACACTTTCACTGTCATGGCACCATCCTATGGAATCCTGGCATTTGTAGTTTGTTGTGATGCCAGAGGTCTCTGACAGAGAAGGCTAAATGTCTCAGAAAACTACAAATCCCAGAGTTCCATAGCATGGTGCCATGACAGTTAAAGTGGTGTCAAACTTCATTAATTCTACACTGTAAATGCAGACTTCATTACAGGTGGATTGGTTCAATCAAGGAAGCCATGGCCCCAAGTCTGCAAAACCTGAGTGGGGCTGTTGAGGATACGATGCCTTAGAGGTCTCTCATTCATAGAGTTGTCATAAGTTGAAGCTGACTTGATGGAAATTAACGACAATGATGCAACTCATATCATTAATCACAAGAGTGCCATAAATCTCTTGAGCTTTGGCTTCTGCTGTCCTGGTTTGTTGCTGTGATTTTGTTATTCAAGGTTCATTATCTTCATCATCTCTTTAGTTATTCTTATATGTACATAACTTTTTTTTGGGGGGGGGTTAGGCTTTGCTCCTGACTCAGTAATAGGTTTTGAATTTCTACTTTAAGTGCCAAAGTGGCCCAATATATTAATAGGGAAAAGTTATGCACCCATACACAGACATATATGGTATGAGTGTGTTTGGTTGGAAACCTGTTGGTGTGTTATGCATAAGTATGTTCCCCCACGGAAGAGGTTAGACATTTATGTTCAATATGGAACAACAGTGTTCAGTTCAACATTGAGGAGATGTATTTCCCCATATATATGTTTACGCAAATTGTTTGTGAAGTGTTGCAATTTGCTTAGAAGGTGGTACTAGAGTCATAGAGTGCATCTACACTGTAGATATAATGCAGTTTGACACCACTTTAACTGCCATGGCTCCATCCTACAGAACCCTGGGATTTGTAGTTTGATGAGGCATCAGAATTCTTTGGCAGAGAAGGCTTAAGGCCTTGTAAAACTACAGATCTGAGGATTCCATGGAGCTAAAACACTTAGAGTGGTGTCAAACTGCATTTGTTCTACAGTGTTGATGCACCCATAGTGCTGAAAGGGGCCTCATGGACCATTGAGTTCTGGCACCTGCTCAGTGCAGGATCTCCAGCCAAAGCATCATCAGCAGGGAGCTGTAATAATAATAATAATAATAATAATAATAATAATAATAATAATAATAATAATAATAATTTATACCCCACCCCTTTGAGGTCAATCGGGGTGGCTGTACAGCCTCTTCTGAAGACATCCTGAGAAGGAGACCCCTGCCACCTCTTCAGGCAATTGGTTCCATTGCTGAACTACTCTTATCATCAAGATATTCCTTCTAATGTTCAATCGAAATATACTGTACTCTCCTGTAACTTCAAACCATTAATTACACATGCAACTTACAAGTTGCAAAGTATGTGAAAGTCACTGCCGATTGTTGCAAGCATTTCTCACAATGAAGGTCAGCACAACGACACCTTTCTGAACCAGTACAATATCTTCCTTTCTATTATGTGTACTGCTACTGGCGTGCCCTTGCCAAGAGTGACTCTTTTGACTGGCTCCATACTGTCTACGTTCTCCGGAGCATGAGTTCGGCTGTTGTGTACTGAACATTTCCTCCCTTGGCAAAGCAGTTGGTACAGATTTAGTTCTCGAGGATGACGATACCATGGAACAATGTCCAGCAGTATTTAAGAAGCTTACAGAGCTTTGAAAGTGACTTTAAGGAAGGGTGGGCAAAATGTGGCCCCCAGGGCCCAACCACAAAATGCGGACCTTCCAGCATATGATTTCAACAACACACTTTTGTTTCTCCTATATGATTTTCCCTCCTACTCTCTTTGCCAATTGATGAAGCCAGTTAGTTTTGAAAAGAAGTACAATGGAGGTTTGTGCACTGCCTGGCCGGTCTAATCTGGGTACCACTAAAAGGTCTTTTGGATTTGAGGCTTCTCAGAAGTGCATAGTTTGGTGCTATATTTTTATCTATGTGTGGCATAGTGGTGTGAGTGCTGGACTACAACTCTGGAGACCAGGGTTCGATTCCTAGCTTGGTCATGAAATCCATTGGATGACCTTGGGCAAGTCCCTTGCTCTCATCCTTGGGGAAGGCAATGGCAGACCACCTCTGAACAAATCTTGCCAGGAAAACCCCATGATAGGTTCACCTTATTTCCACAAGTTGGAAATGACTAGAAGACACACAACAACAACAATGATTTTAAAAACAAACACCAACCAAGAGCAGTGCAAAATCTCTCCAGTCAAAAGAAGTGCAAAAGCTAAGGCTTCACTGACTCCCAGTAATAGCAATAGCAAGCACATTTCACCCCAGTACTGGTGACCTGGGAATAAAACAGGCATAGACAACTGTGGAAGGCTAGGGAGTCTTCTAGGAGACCTTGGAGGTGCATACCTTGTCCCACAAATAATAATAATAATAATAATAATAATAATAATAATAATAATAAAAAACATTTGGATCTTCTAGAGATCATCTGATAGCATCTTCCAAACTGTGTCCAGGGATATTTCTTTCTTTCTTTCATCAGCCTCCACTTTTCTTATGATTTTCATTTTGGTGGTCTTTGTTTTTTTTTTAATAAAAAAACAGCAACCATAAAACATTTTGAAACTTCTAGAGATGACTTGATGGAGCAAGTTTGCTTTCTGCTGCTCCACAGACTAGAATATGGAGTAGTGGATTCAAACTACAGGAAAAGAAATTCCACCTGCGGCCC